CACTGGCTGAGCGAGGGGCGGGAGCAACACCGAGGGTTGCGATCCCGTGGCCGGTCACGAATAAAGACAAAAAGGAAAAAAAAAAAAAAAAAAGATCCCCTTACCAGTCATCTTTAAAAAAAAAAAAAAAAAAAAAAAAAAAAAACCCAAGAAAACAACATACTGTATGATTCCATTCATGGGACATTCTGGAAAAGGCATAACAGTAGGGGGAGTAAACGGATCATTGGTTGCCAGGGTCTGGGCTTGAGGGAGGGGTTGGCGATAACAGGCTATAAGAGAATTTGGGGCAAGGGTGGTGAAGCTGTTCTCTCTCTCTCTTTTTTTTTTTTTTTACAGCCAGCCAGTGCAGGGATCTGAACCCATGACCTTGGGGTTAGTAAGGCTGCGCTCTAAGCAGCTGAATGAACTGGCCAACCTGTCTGACTGTGATGGAGTTACACGGCTGTATGTGTCTGTCAAAACTCTTAAAATTCCAAGAGAAATGAAAACATGTTCACATAAGAACTTGGAGGTGGATGTTCTAGCAGCTTTATTCATAAAAGCCCTAACGTGGAAACAGTCCAAATGTTCATCAGCTGATGAATAAATAAACAAAATGTAGTCTGTCTATACCACGGAATACTAGTGGGCCATGAGAAGGAATAAAGTAGCAAAACATGCTACAATATGGTTGAGCCTTAAAAACAGTGTGCTAAGTGGAAGAAGCCGGACGCTAAAGGCCAGTATTGTGTGACTCCATTTATATGTAATGTCCAGAACAGGCAAATTCATAGAGACAGAAAACAGTTAATAGAAAATAGAAGAAACAGTTAACAGAAAATAGATGAATAGTTGCCTCGGGCTGGGGGGAGGGATGTGAGGATTGGGAGGTGCCAGCTAATGGTACGGGGTTTCTTGTCGAAGGGACGAAATGTTCTAAAATTGGTTGTAGTGATGGATGGCAGCTCAAAGCCATTGCAATGGTGAATTGTACGGTATGTGAACTGTATCTCAAAACTGTTACCAAACAAACAACACAATACTCTCATAGACCTCTATGCTAAAAACGGTGAATATAATATTTTGAAAAACTTAAAAAATATTTTGAAAAAAAACATAAAGAAGTCCATTAGGTTAACCCCATCATTTTAGAGAAGAAACAGCTGAAGCCCGTCTCTTCTCTCACTGAAAGCTTGCGTGTTGAGAAAAGCTGCCGCTGCAGACTCTCCCCTCAGCTCAGAAGAGACGTTCCCCTCCAGCTGCATCCCCGTCCTCCCCGTCGCTCCCGCCACCCCAGCCTCACTGACTGGCTCTTGAGCCCTCACACTCACCCGTTCCCTCCTGCCTCAGGGCCTTTGCACGTGCGGTTCCTCCGTCGAAGTCACCCTCCCCACTCCCAGCACTGCTCAAACCCCTCTGCATTTTCCAGATCTCAGCATGAACATCTCCTCCCCAGGAAGGCCTCCCTGGATCCCCCAGACCCCATCTTGCTACCTACATCCGATGTTCCCTGTGCCTTTACTTGGTGGGACTTGCCCTGACTTTAAGTATACAGTAATATCAGTAATTGTGGGTTTAAATAAAGCTTGTCTCCTCCAACAAATTGACAGACATTGCTCTTGGTCAGAGGATCAATAAAATAGCATTTAAATGACCAAATGAAAATAAAGATTCTTCCTTCCTCCTCTCCCTCTCTTCTTCTTTCTCTCCTTTCCTCCTTCCTTCCTTGCTTTCTCCTTCTCTCCCTCCCAGAAATATTTATTGAACACTTATTATGTGCCAGGCACTGTTCTAGGCTCAAGGAATACAGCAGCACTCAAGACAGACTGAAATATCTGCCCTCATGGAGCTCACATTCTAGTAGGGAAACCAGAGAATAAATTAACAAATGAAAATATGAGATAGTGGCTGGCAGCAATAAATGCAATGAAGAAAAGTAGAGGGTTAAAGGGACAGGGAGGGACAGGACAGGACAGGGGCTACTTCCGCCAGGGAGGTCTGGGAAGGCGACGGACTGTGAGAGCCACCTGGAGGAGGAGCAGGAGCAAGCCAGGCGGGCGTGGGGAAGGGTGCTCCTGGCAGGGGGACCGGCCAGTGCAAATCCAAGCTCGCCCAAGCTCTGAACAGACCCCGGCCCCAGCTCCTTCCTCGTTCCTGTCTCCTCCATGTGCCCTTCTCATCCCCTGTGCCACCTCCCCCCCACTCCCTCATCCCTCCAGACCCCCAGCCCAGCAGGTACCTGACTTGGGGTAGGTGACAATGAAAATGTCGTTGTCCCGCACATCTGGGGTGTTCTCCGCCAAGCTGATGCTCTCGGGTGAGTACAGGCCGACGGGGAAGGGGATGCCCTTGTACCTGAAGTATTCACCTGGCAACTTCTGGCTGTAGGAGGGTGGGAGAGACACCACGAGGGAAAGTAAGGAGGTGGGTGAGGGAGCCCTCAGGGCCAGTCCGCTTGAACGCTGGCAAGGAATTTCCACTTTCTGAACCTCGTTTCCTCATCTGCCAAGTGGGGATGGTTCACTAAATCCCCACAGCAATGCTCACAATAATCGTATGAAGTAACAATTATTATTACCCCCATTTTATGGATGAATAAAGCAAGGCGCAGAGAGGTTGAGTGAGTCGTCTGAAGTCACAAAGCTGGAGGGATCTACAGCACTTTATAACTGCAAAGTGGGGCGAAGCGTTCTCCATTCATTTACCCTTCACCCCAACCCTTGAGGGAGAGGCTAAGTCTCCACCCCAGTTTACAAACAAGGAAACCAAGGCCAAGGAAGTCAGACACCCTGCCAGCACCTGCAAATCTACAGTGCAGCTGGCTCTGAGTCACCATGAAGCTAAAATAACCTCAGGCTTCAAGCCCTTCGCTCGAACTGCTTTTCCAAACCCCCTGCGATGGGTTCATGTAGACAGAAAAGTGAGTAAAAATTTCCCAAATGAGGTGTTTAAGAGCAATTGGGTTCAGTCTGCTGTTTCCTTCCATCTCCACCTCCACGGGATCTCCCGTCCATGGTATGGGAGAGGGATGGGTATTTGGGAGACCTGGCTAAGGCCAGGATGAGCTGGGGATACATGTCACTGGGCTTTTGTGGGATATATGTGCGGTTCACAGTCACGTCTGTGTGTAGTTAAGTTACCGTGAGCTGGCTGGGTGCAGGAACTCATTCCAGGAATGCCAGTTGGGCGTAGTGACAGGAAGGCAGGGGAGAGGAATTGTGTCATGGTATTTCAGGTGGAATGGGAGACACAGGTTTGAAGTGGATGTAGCCAGAAGCTAGTCTGTCATTTTTCCAGGATGTTTGGGGGGTATTTGTCAGCTTTTAAAAATGAAACAATCTGCTGTGATTTCTTTTCTCATTCTAAATAAACATTTCTTCTACCTAATGTTGTAGTCAAAAGAAATGACTGTTTTTCTTAAGGAGACCGTCCTCCAAATGATATAGGCTTCAGGCCTGGCAAATCCTGGACCTGCTCAGTGCTCCCACTACACCAGGCTACTTTCCATTTGTATCCCTCTATAGCACACTTAGGACAATAAATTAAACTTAAACAAATTTATATGTGTAAGTAGGTTATATTGTCTATGAATTTCACTTCAAAATAGTCAACAGAATGCTACAAATACTTGTTACACAAGAGGATTTGGGTCTGGCCACACAGATGAAACTCAGAACCATAATGTTGAATGAAGAATACAGGACATGGGCCGGCCCGTGGCTCACTCGGGAGAGTGCGGTGCTGATAACACCAAGGCCACGGGTTCGGATCCCATATAGGGATGGCCGGTTGGCTCACTGGCTGAGCGTGGTGCTGACAACACCAAGTCAAGGGTTAAGATCCCCTCACCGGTCATCTTTAAAACAAACAAACAAAAAGGAATGCAGGACACAAGAGTCCACACTGTAGGATTCCAACTATGAAGAATTCAAAAACGGGAAAAAGTGAGAACGTGGTTACCCTTGCTGGTGTGGGTACGTGTGACTGGGAGGGGAAGACGGAAGGCTGTTCGCTTTGCAATATTTATTAATTTCTCTCTCTCTCTCTCTTTTTTTTTTTTTTTTTTGCGGCTGGCTGGAGTGGGGATCTAAACCCTTGACCTCGGTGTTGTTGAGCTCTTGACTGAAGTTCTGCATGGCACTCATGTGAGTTTTACTTTATTTTTTTTTATTATTTTTATTATTATTATTATTATTTAAAGATGACCGGTAAGGGGATCTTAACCCCTTAACCCTTGACTTGGTGTTGTCAGCACCACGCTCACCCAGTGAGCCATGGGCCAGCCCTGGGTTTTACTTTAATAAAACATTCAACGAATGAATGAATGAATATAACACTAAAGGAAAAAAGATACTCTTCTTCTAAAACAAAATTGTTTTTAATACAAAGGAAGTGAGGTGTTGGGTCTGATAATGACACAGAGTCCTTTTCTGCTATTTCCTCCTCCTCTGCCCAGCTGACAAATGAGATAACTGAGGTCCTTCGATTTGCCCAGGAGGTTCTGGATTTTTCCTGAAGACCTCCATCAGCTTTGGACATATGAGCGATGGGGAGTTTGCCCTGAGACCTGGCACTAGGTTAAGTGTTGGAGAAGAAGGATGTAGGCTGGAGAACTGTGTCCTCTGCCTGGGGTCATATGAGGGCCCTGGGGACCCTGGATGAGGCTCAGCCCAGCCAGCCAGGGTTTCCAAAGGGCAATGTCCCAAGGGGGTGGGAGGGAGGCCATGGGGGAAGATGATTTGTGGGCTGTGGTCTGCTGGCGAAGGGCCCGCTTCACTTCTGGCTGGGAGCTGCTCCCAAGGGGACAGGGAGGGCTGGTCACCTCATGGGGGTGGGGCTGGGGGTCTTGTAGGGCCGGCTTTGGAGTATTCAAAGTGGCACAGGCACAACAGCTCAGTTCTGGAGCTGGACATCAAGGGCTCAGAGTCTGGTTTTGCCACTTTTTAGCTAAGCTGAGGCCAGATGCTCAAATCTCTTTGTGCCTCAGTTTCCTCAATGGTAAAGCAGGGATAAGAGAAGCAGCATAATGTCTTGGTTAACGGCACAAACTCTGTAGCCAGACTTATGTGGGTTTCAGTTCTACATCCCAACAGCAGTGTGGCTTTGGGCAAGTCACTCAGCCTCTCTGGGCCTCAGTTTTTTCATCCATAAAATGAGGACTATCGTTACCTCACAGGGTTGTTGTAAGCATGTAAAACGCTTAGAACTGTGCCTGGAGTGGAGTGGGTGCTATATAAATATTTGCTAATTTTTTAAAATACGGGTTACAGGAGGGGAAAAAAGTGGTTGAAGTAGATAGAGCCTGGCTCATAGTCTGCTTTCAATAAACCTGAGCCAGGGCTGGCCGGTTAGCTCCATTGGTCAGAGCCCAGCCTTGTAACACCCCAGTCAAGTGTCTGGTTCCTGCCAGCCACACACACACAAAAAAAATCTGAGCTAAAATTATGATTGTTATTATATATAGTGACAGAGGCAATACCAGGCATTATGTGAGTACAGAGGAGGGGCTGCTTCGCACAGGGTTTGGCACACAGTAGGCCTTCATTACCTTGTAATTACTTTATTTGCTCAGTGATGTCATCAGTTACCTCATTTGCAAGCCAGGGGGCGGAATTAGTGATGTAACCTGTTACCAGGCAAATTTAGCCCAGTGGGCGGGAACTGTGAGGTCATCAGTTACCAGGCAGATTAGTGGCTAAGTGGCTGGGCCTTGGGTCTGCTTCAGTAGGTCACACTTGCCCTTTCTGTGCCTTGGGGCAGTGGATCTTGCCTCTTTTAGTCTCAGTTTCCTCATCTGTCACATGAGGATAGCAGTAATCTCTATCTCAAGGTTTTAATCCTACTTAAGGATTAAAAGATAATATATTCTAAGTGCCTGGCTCCTGATAAATGCTCAGGAAACTGAAGCTCCGTTTATTTCAGTCTTTGATCTCACCAGCAGCTCCTGGAGGGATAAATTTCCTTCCCAGCTTATAGGACAGGAAAACTGAGATGCCAAGAAGGAGAAGATCCTGTGCCCTTCAGGAGTCTCTGAAATAGTCACTAAATGAATAAACGAATGAATGATGAGGGTGTCCTGGCCATTTCCCCTTGCACTGACGATCTCCTAATTGGGGGTCCCAGCTCCACCCCACCAGGCCAGGGTGGACAGGCAGTGCTGGGACATCATTGGTTCTCAGCCAGTATTTGATTAAATGAATGAATGAATGTGTGAATGAATGAAAGGATTTACTAGGAAAAAAGGAAACAAAAGTCGAAGAGTGCTTGTTATGTTCTTTCACCTGCCTCAGTGGTTCTCAGCTCTGGGTGCTGTGAGGACTTTAAAGGCCCCAAAGTCCAGTACCACCCTAGGCTGACAGTGTCCAAATCTCACCACTGCACCCACCTGCTGAGTGCAGAGCAACCAGCAACTCAATAAATAACTGTTATGGGGTGAATGGGGTAGAGCTGGGCTCTCCCTGCATGTTACAATGCTACAGATGAGAAAGTGGAGGTTTTGGGAGAGGAGACGATTTGGCCAACGCCACACAGCCAGAACCAAGCAGAGCAGGGATTTGAATCCAGGTTGCTATGGCCCCTCAGCCCTATAGACAGTTCCTATCCCAGTCCCTCCTTCCCCGTGTACCCCACAGTCCAGCCAAAATCCCCAGATGCACTGGGCACTGGTCCCACATCCAGACTTTGTAGCTGCTGCTGTTCCCCCTGCAGGGAACGCCATCCCCCTGCCACCATGCTGGGGCACAGTGCTGGCCCAAGAGGCCCCACCTGGACTCTTGCTTAGCTGAATTCTTGATGTGTACTAAAACAGGTGCTGTGTGCCTTCTCTTCCCACCTTGTAAATCAAATCTGGCCCCAGGGTGACCTTTCCTCTGCCTGGATCACAGGCCCGTTTTGTTTACACAAAACAGGTCCAGGGCCTGGCATGCAGCTTTCGCTTGATTTGAGCAGAGGAATGAAGCTGACAATTGAGCTGGGTGAGAGACCAGCAGCAGGAGGAACAGCAGACAGGACTATGGCTGACATGATGGGCAAGTGGCCAAGGATCTACTTAGCCTCATAGAAGGTAACTGGCCAGCCCTGCCAGGGAGACCCAGGACACTCCAAGAAAGGCCCAATATCGTGACCTTCTGCCTCCCACCTCCACAGTCCAGCAGGCCCTGACCCTTCCTCTCTGTTCCTCCTTTGCCCCGGACCCTTGACCCAGCGTGCTCCTTAATCTCCTACCTCCAGTCTCTTCCTCCAGCCCTCTTGTGGCTTCTCAGTGGCCTCCAGACAAAGTCCCAGCCCCTCAGCGCAGAACTCAAGGCCCTACATAGCCTGGGCTTATCTACTCCTCTAGTCTCCTTTCTTCTGCTACCAACAGTAGCCACGGCCACCTTCCT